TCTATCGCTGGTCGCGGTATCCGACCAGCGTATTAGACGAAGAGTGGATTGATATCTTCAACCTTCACGGGAAACACAACGGCTTGTTGTACGGTCACGATCAATGGAGGCTATGACTGTGCAACAATGACATTATCAACTGGCAATCCTAAGAAGGCAACTGAAGTCACCATTTCCATTTTGTTTCAGGAAAACGTCGAAGAGAGGAAAGAAAACATGAGCCGTTGATGAAGTCGTCCCCAGAAACTTGCTGAGCATGGTGAGTTGGCCCTCAATGTGGAACCGCGGCAAAGCAAGAGAATTACAAATGATTTTGAATACATAAATTTAACCTAAAAGTTTTATTTGCTATCTTTGGCGCGGATGAGCTTGTAAGCTGAAATGGCCTTGGTAAGCCGGCTTACCAGGAACTATTTGGGTCCAGATATTTTTTCCAGTCTAGCCATAACGCTAGATCTTGGCAAATCTGAAAATCAGCCATCCAACCTCGTTAGCGGCAGTTTCTGTCTTCACAAGCTGATTGTCAATGGCCCACTCGTGGCCGCGAAGCGCACTTGTGAATCATGAAAGGGTATGTTCAATTACATTTGCACAACAGAGGTTCTTAGAAATGGCTACTACCTTTATTGGGCCCAATCAGTTTGCATGATCTCAGATAGAAACAAAACAGCATTGCACGTATCCTGTATCTCCACATTCAATCTCAAAGGAGCTTCTTCTGCTGCAGCAAGACAACGAGTCTTTGGTTTTCCTCTCAGCTGCAGCAACCATTGTTTAAATTCCAATTGCCAGTGAAGTTCAACGGTATTGCTAAGTTGAACGACTCCACTCAAGACATTGGCTTGCAGTTGTCTGAAGATATCCTTGGTGTAAAGAATGTAAACATCTACATGACTCTCGATTACTTTTTGTCTTATACCATGCCCGAGTTGTTTGTTTGAGTCACCGTCCAAGAACGAGATTCCCATATCGCAGATCCAAAAACCCATAGGACATTTCTCCCAGGGGGAAGAAAACCTCCCTTGACCCCCCTGTTTCTCGACGGATCCTGCCGGCCGGGCCGGTCAGTAGACCGACTGCAGCCTTCAGCCCCGCCTCAGACCCCCTGGAGGCCCGCCAGGAGGCTAAGTGTCCGGAGATTGGCCGGGGGCCTGATCTCTCCGGGCGGCCGTGACCGGTCAGCGGACCGTGTCAGCAGGCCCGTGACATGTCAGCCGGCTGACAGGGGCCGTGACCCGGCTGACAGGCTCACCTGACCGGTCACGTGACATATCACGTGACCGAGACAAGACTTTTTTATATCGCAGATCCAAAAACCCATAGGACATTTCTCCCAGGGGGAAGAAAACCTCCCTTGACCCCCCTGTTTCTCGACGGATCCTGCCGGCCGGGCCCGTCAGTAGACCGACTGCAGCCTTCAGCCCCGCCTCAGACCCCCTGGAGGCCCGCCAGGAGGCTAAGTGTCCGGAGATTGGCCGGGGGCCTCAGCTCTCCCGGGCGGCCGTGACCGGTCAGCGGACCGTGTCAGCAGGCCCGTGACATGTCAGCCGGCTGACAGGGCCGTGACCCGGCTGACAGCTCACCTGACCGGTCACGTGACATATCACGTGACCGAGACAAGACTTTTTTATATCGCAGATCCAAAAACCCATAGGACATTTCTCCCAGGGGGAAGAAAACCTCCCTTGACCCCCCTGTTTCTCGACGGATCCTGCCGGCCGGGCCCGTCAGTAGACCGACTGCAGCCTTCAGCCCCGCCTCAGACCCCCTGGAGGCCCGCCCGGAGGCTAAGTGTCCGGAGATTGGCCGGGGGCCTGATCTCTCCGGGCGGCCGTGACCGGTCAGCGGACCGTGTCAGCAGGCCCGTGACATGTCAGCCGGCTGACAGGGGCCGTGACCCGGCTGACAGGCTCACCTGACCGGTCACGTGACACATCACGTGACCGAGACAAGACTTGTTTATATCGCAGATCCAAAAACCCATAGGACATTTCTCCCAGGGGGAAGAAAACCTCCCTTGACCCCCCTGTTTCTCGACGGATCCTGCCGGCCGGGCCCGTCAGTAGACCGACTGCAGCCTTCAGCCCCGCCTCAGACCCCCTGGAGGCCCGCCAGGAGGCTAAGTGTCCGGAGATTGGCCGGGGGCCTGATCTCTCCGGGCGGCCGTGACCGGTCAGCGGACCGTGTCAGCAGGCCCGTGACATGTCAGCCGGCTGACAGGGGCCGTGACCCGGCTGACAGGCTCACCTGACCGGTCACGTGACACATCACGTGACCAAGACAAGACTTTTTTATATCGCAGATCCAAAAACCCATAGGACATTTCTCCCAGGGGGAAGAAAACCTCCCTTGACCCCCCTGTTTCTCGACGGATCCTGCCGGCCGGGCCCGTCAGTAGACCGACTGCAGCCTTCAGCCCCGCCTCAGACCCCCTGGAGGCCCGCCAGGAGGCTAAGTGTCCGGAGATTGGCCGGGGGCCTGATCTCTCCGGGCGGCCGTGACCGGTCAGCGGACCGTGTCAGCAGGCCCGTGACATGTCAGCCGGCTGACAGGGGCCGTGACCCGGCTGACAGGCTCACCTGACCGGTCACGTGACACATCACGTGACCGAGACAAGACTTTTTTATATCGCAGATCCAAAAACCCATAGGACATTTCTCCCAGGGGGAAGAAAACCTCCCTTGACCCCCCTGTTTCTCGACGGATCCTGCCGGCCGGGCCGGTCAGTAGACCGACTGCAGCCTTCAGCCCCGCCTCAGACCCCTCCCCCCTCCCTTCAGCCCTCTCGCGATGGTGCAGGGATATGCACAACGCTAATCAATGACGAAGACGGATAGACCATGAAGATTCGAAGTTAATGTCGATGAGATATCTTGATAGCACGGTCGTTGTGTTGCTTTTGTGAATACAATCATCATTATCGTAATCTAATCTTGCAAGTTCAGAATCAAGCACCATCCAAGTGTTGCTGTGATGATTTTTCATTCGCATAGTCGACAATGTTATGTTTTATCAATAAACAAATGCTTGAGATGTAAAGTATTGCACTAGATATCCAGTGCTGTTTGTCAAAGCAGCTCAACCTTCACTCGTGCCCTCACAAACAAGATGGGACAACGAGCATCCTGCTCTTGCCTCATCATAGTGTAATCAAGGATTTTGATTTTGCATAGTTCAAGATATTTGATGTTAGAAATTTTGTGCCTCAGATTTACAGTATACATTTGAATGGGAGAGGCAACATGTTTCACGGGCATTGGCAAGGTGTATGAACATCCAACTAGGGTCACGAAAGCATGAACTGAGCTGAGTGTACGTGTTCTATCAAGCATGATTCAAAGCTCATGGCCCTGCTTTGAAGCGTGGTTCGTTCGGAACCTTGCAACCTGCATGCTGTGGACTGATATGATGTTCAGAACTCTAGAGTGTTGTAGACAGTAGCAGCTTCGCATGCAGCGAGTAGCAATACTCTGTAACACGATTGTTCTCGGTCAAGGCATCAACAGACGGTACGCATTTCATTAAGCATGATCTGGAATCAGTTTACTTGCAAGAGAACTCCTGTGCACATGACTCTGCAACTGCGCTGGAAAGTTGCATGCAGATCTCAGCATGATGATGTGACGCAGAAAAGCTCACTCCATACAGGTTGTCAACTCTCACGATGTAAGGATATGAAGTTAAGCTATGTATGCAACATTGAGATACGTTGCTTCAGAAGTGATCCACTGTCATGAATTCTCATGAATTCATTCAAATCGTCTTTTCTCCACATGTTGAGCACCAACAGCAAGTATTCGATACACTTAGATCATCCCTACATAATGTTCTTTTGTCGTAAAACTTGTCTGCTGTCGATATCGTCACGAGCATGTAATATCTTACATGTGTTCATTGTTCTGCTAGGAAGGAAGGTGCCAAGGAAAAAAATGCTGTGTTGCTTGTTCATGTGGATGCACGATACTTACCTGATACACAAACATGAGAAGATCAATCTTCACTTGATCTCAGCCTCACCGTGATTCGTGATGGGATCTGTTTTTGAGAAACAGATTGCCGCTAACAGTTTGCACGTCTTCAACAATGTTGTTCAAGCTGGAATTGGGGTTCTAAACAATCTAGACAATATAACGTCTGTCATCAACCTGTATGTAGAGTAGCAATGCCAACCTGAGTGCATCACCACATGTAATATGTGCAAGTGCAGCGTTGAAAAGGGCAGAGCTTTGGGCATCCTGATCCATGCACGATGACTGCTCGCCGGGAAGCAGGATCTGTCACTAAAGTATCAGAGTTGCAAAGTGAGCATGCATACCACTCAAACACACCATCTATGATTCTCATGTTTGACCTTTGTCACCATGTTGGTCTTGGCATCTTTCAGTAGCCTGATGGTCGCTGGATGGGCAACATTCATCATGCATCGAGAGGGAGGGATGGGTTGGGGATTCCTTTCCACCCACCCCCTGATCGCAAGATTGAGTGCCGTATCGATCACCCTCCTGTTTTAGGGAATTATGACACATGAGCAAGGGTGGGTACCTTACGTTAAAGTTCAAATTTTGAATACACGCCTCTGACCAGGGGTTATGCCTCCTGTATCCAACAGAGAAAAGCATGGGTGGGTCGATAGGATTTTCGGTACTGTTCTTGTACCACGAAGGCGTGTAGAATTGATTTTATTGTCGTCATGCAGTACAGTTTGAATCTAAGAATAGCACGCCGCCGATACAAATTTCTGCATGCAAATACTTGGAATAAAAGGTTCACAACCTACCCTTTTCCCAGCCAAGTCGCCCACCCGACCTACTCTTTTCCCATGGGAGAGTGAGGGTGGGGTCTACTCCAGGCAAGGGCAGAAGACCCCCAGGCGCCATCAGCGGGGGAAGGACTGGTACAAATTGCAATTAGAGCCGTGTCCATGATTAGTACCAGAAGGACAGGATCGAGAATTAACTAAAGCTATAAGCGAACGTAATGTGGAAGGGGTCTGGAGGGGAGTTTGTCTGGGGGAAAACGCCGTTTTTCTACGCTAAGTCCCGCGACCGGGCCCGCCTCAGCATATATATCACGCGGAGGGGGCCGTGACCCGGCTGACAGGCTCACCTGACCGGTCACGTGACACATCACGTGACCGAGACAAGACTTTTTTATATCGCAGATCCAAAAAGGAGTTTGTCTCGGGGAAAACGCCGTTTTTCTACGCTAAGTCCCGCGACCGGGCCCGCTCAGCATATATATCACGCGGAGGACCCTGCAGGCTCTCAGATCTGTCTATCTGGACCCCGACCGAGCCCGCCTCGTCCTCACAAGGTCGCTGGAAGGGGTCTGGAGGGGAGTTTGTCTGGGGAAAAACGCCGTTTTTCTACGCTAAGTCCCGCGACCGGGCCCGCCTCAGCATATGTATCACGCGGAGGACCCTGCAGGCTCTCAGATATGTCGTAAGAAGAAGTCGTGAACCGTTGTGTTCATATTTGTAGACGATTTCATCATGTCCAACTGCTTCTGCACCCAAGAGTTTAAGTTCTCGTGAAAACTTCTCCCACCATCGCCTCGGTGCCGTTCTGGTCCCATATATTGCTTTCATGACCTTAAGGAGAACGTCTGGCGGCAATCCCATGATTGCAGGTGGGTACAAGTACATTGGTTCCAGCAGATCACTGTAGAGAAAAGCCGCCGCTATATCACGAAAAACGATAATCCAGTTATTTCCCGCAGCGATACTTAGTAGCAAGCGGATATTATCCATCGATGTGGTTGGTGCAAACAACTCCTCCGACGTCGGTAAGAGATTGCCCATTACCACCAGCCTCGCCTTGTATTTTAGAATTTTCCCTTGTAAATCTTTCTTGGTTGTATACACCCACATGCCGCGTGCTATGATTTTCCCTCGTGTTTCTTCAGAATCCCTTGAAACTATAGTCCAAACCTTGCGTTCCTCCATCTTGTGAATTTCAGCTCGTTCAGCCGCTTCCCACAGCTCCCTATCTGGACGCATCAACATCTCTTTCCTATTCCTAGGATCAACTGTCATGTGATTCGAATCTTGCAGGGATGGCAAAGCTCGCGACAAAATTGCTGCTGACAACTTTATAGCCTCCCAGACTGGCACCACGAGCGCCATGTTGGTGACAAGCATTCGAGAGTCTGGAAAACACTCTGTTGACTCACTGGGTCCAAGATCCATGCACTCTGGATCATATGCCACATCAACGTCTTCACCTGGATCAGTGAGTGATACAAGTTCATTCCACCTTTCTCGTCTCAAAGGAATCCATCGTGCAGATTGTTGAGAAGTAGCAGACCGATTGCCCTCGTCTAGCACAAAGAACACCTCTTTTCCACCGCCGTTGAGGACTTTTCCAGGTACCAACTGAGATGACATGAGTAACAACCCCCTGCCTCAGCTCTCCTGTATCCATTACAACCTCCGCACGTCGATTGATGAAACGTGTTTCTGCTTCTCGCCGCTGCTGACGAAAGTCTCTTCGAGTCCGACATGGACGCGCCTCTGCAGTACATCCATCCTCCGTATCCACTTTACGTTGTACCAGCACATCTGGCTGATAATCCTCGTCACTATCGTGCCAAGCCTCCTCGTGAACAGAATCCTCGTGAACAAAATCCTCGTGAGCAGAATCCTCGTGAACAGAATCGTGCACTTCCTCCTCATCCGATGAATCGATCATCCTGGGTCGCTTTCTTCCCCCTTGCTGCTTGGTTGGAACCACAGACGTATCAGGCTCATCCACCTTAACAAGTGTATCTCCCAATGGTTAACTGTCTTGTAAAATGTTGTGCTTGACAATTTCCTCAGGATCCTCTTGCCAATTAACTCTGCACGCACGACGAAAGGGAAAGAAAAATTCATCACATGTCAAGTTATTCGTGTGATAAATTTTATCTTCTTCGATATTCCACACCAGATATCCCACCGTGTGTCCAGGAAAGGCGTTTGCGTTGCCTAAGAGTATCCCTTGCATGGCTGGATCGTCTACCTTGGATGTCCGTACACTGTTCTTGAAAAACACCATACATCCGAAGGTTCGTAACGAACGAAAATTAAACATTTCGCCGTTGTAAATCTTGACAATGAATGTTTCCATTTCAGACGAAAGAAACTCAGTCCCGTTATCAGAGATTATTCGTTGAACTGCATGTCGCCGTACATTCTTCTCTTCCTTCCTGAGCATCTCGATGAGAATAGCGGCTGTTTGACTTTTGTGTTTCATAGGACGAACGTATATGAATCCCGAGAACGCATCGACTATTATGAGAAAATACCTATATCCTGATGGTTCTGAAACCGTTATCATGTCTTTCAAATCGACATGCCAAAGCGAATTGACATCGTCGGCTCAATCCTGTCGAAAAGACGACTGCTTATGCACAGGACGTGACACGAATTTAGCAACTCGACAGATATGACAAGGAGACGCGACAATGCGTCGATTGTAAGTCACATATCTTACTGTATCTGCAAGTAGTTTCTGCACTTTACTGTCCGGGTGTCCGGTCCTCATATGCCATAAGTAAGAATCAGATAACTGTGCAGGCTTGCTAGCCAAAGACCCTGTTGCATGACGATCACCAGATACCTTCGTCAAACACACTGTCCCTCTGGATTCCGCTGACACACAGAAGACCGGCGTACCGTCTTTTGCCTCATCATGATTCATCTGTCGTCTTGTGGATAACATATACAACTTGTCCCGCTGAAGCAAGGGAATATGAACCTTTCCATCCTCTGAAGCCACATACGATTTGGCAGCATTTCTGGAACCTCTACCCACAATATAATACTTGTCACCCAGAAAATCATCCAAACTCACAAGAGGAACAGGCAGAACAGGACAAACGCGAACATGATCCAAGACAATAGTATTTGCAATTGTGCCTTGATCATCGACAATCTGCAAATGTAACTTCCCATACTTAGCACAGTTGACCTTTCCTCCTGCAGTCATAACGAAGAAATCATCTCCAGACTGTACATCAGAGAGCAAATTCTCATCACCTACCATGGATACGTTTGCTCCTGAGTCGAGCAAAAAATTAACGACTGTTCCAGCATTGTCATTGACCACGGTACTTTGCATAGCACTTGCATGAATGTCTGCAATCGACAAACTCGTATCAATGCCAAACTGAAATGCAAAGAAAGATCGCCACTCCGCTTGACGTCTCCCAGCCTGAGCATTGCTTTCTCTGACATTTTGCTCGATCGTCCTCTCAAAAGGATTGTCCGAAACCTGACCACGGCCGCGTCCCCGATGATTATGCTCAAACGTTTCCAGCCATGGTCCAACCGGCTGCTCACTGTCTGCGCCTGACCTCCTTCCCCCCTGGATTTCCCTGGCCAATCGAAGTACAGCCTCGCCGAGAGCCTGAGGAGAAAATTCATGCACATTGTTTCGCCGCTCATGATATCCTCCCGAACGATCACCTCTTGAGAAACCATCAGACTCGCCTCTGCGTGGATTGTAGTTATGCGTCGTCCAATGCTCCCCTCTACCCCGTCCGCGCATCCCTCTACCAGCCGGACGATCATACGGCTTCCCCCGCTGCTGATGATGACCTCGAAAGCCTGAGCCTCTTCCCCGAAAATTGTTCCCCTGAAAACCACCGGCTCTTCCTTGGTGATTTCGAAAATCATTCGACCCGGCACCAGCGGAGCCTCCACGACCGTAGCCGCCACGAGACCCATCAACATGGTAGGCGCCCCTGCGCCGCATTCCCTGACTCGGATGCTCACCTCGGCCTCGCGTACTATCCCTCGCGACCCACGTGCTCCCGTCATCCTGACCGCCGGATGTGTTATCCACAGGCGACTCATTGCTGCCACTCGTGTCTTCCTTTTCCTTACCACCCTGTCCTCCACTTTCAGATGGCTTGTCTGCATTCGGTTGACTAACCGTAGCTTGCACATCCGAGGCTACTACATTAACTGACGCAGTCCCCGACTGTGTTTTCTCACCCCCAGCAGTAAGAAGTGCCTGTTCATCGTTCAAATTTACAGCCCAAGAGTACACCTTCTCCCAAGTCAATTCGAATGACGACTTGGATCGCTTATGGTGCCGTGCAACATCTCGGATATCAGCACATTCCGAAAGATAACACTGCCTGACCAACTCCTCCACCAAAATCATTTCCAAAGCTTTGACCGACTCCTCTCCTGCTACATCCTCCAACTTATTGAGCAGAATTTTCATCTGAACCATAACACTGTGGAAGGTGGATATGTCAGGCAATTTCGACTTTGCCAGCGTCAGAAGCTCCATCCGCGTTTTGTCCGGAGTGGCATGGAGATTCTCACTGCGCTTTCTGACTTCCCATATCATGTACGCGAGAGCTTTGATCGGAGCCAACTTGGACTTTGGTCCTCCCGACATAGCCCATGGCACAGGAAACAATGGTTTAAGATACGACCGAAAGTACTGGTCCAGCTCCAGAAGAAAATATTCAATGTCCTCATACAACACGTTAATCATCGCAGCATCCATCTCCTTGCCATCAGAATCCCTTCGGCTTACCCCCTTCTTTTCTTCTTGCCAGAAGCACTCACTGGGTTGCCGGAATCACCGTCATCAACGGGACTACCATGATCCGACAGTCTTGGACAAACTTTGCAACTGCTCCACATAATCTCGAATCTGCCCGCTCTTCCTCCAACAAAATTTGGCATTCAGGAAAAGCAAAACGACCTGCCTTTTCCATTCCTCCGTCAACTCGCCATCCACATTCACACTCTTGTTCTTTTCCCATACAGTATGAAACTCACCACCAAAATTACCGAGTTGATCGAGTGGAAACTCTCGTATCAACGGGAACAAACACATGCCCAATCCTGTCCGATATCGATTCATTGCATTTTGAATCGGAAGCAGAAGTTCATCCAATTCCTCCTGTGACGTCACAGATCCTTTGAGGAATGTGTCCATCTGTAACTCAGGATGAGTCTTGATCAATTCTTCACTGAGGTCCAATTTTCCTCCTCCCATGGTAAAAGCAATGTCGAAAAATCAGTAGCAACGTTCCACAAAAGAATCGACTCCGACCTTCCAAACAGCTTCCAAGCACAAGCGAAAAAAATGCACAAAAAATCGAGTCCAACTTCCAAACAACGAGTCCAAAAAAAACAATCGAATCACCGACTCAAACAGTGACCTTCCAAACTGGCAACTTCCAAGCACAAGCGAAAAAATGCAAAAAAATCGAGTCCAACTTCCAAACAACGATTCCAAAAACAATCGAATCACCGACTCAAACAGTGAATCTGTAACAACAATGAACCGAACTTACTCTTTGTTCCAGTTCAGACCGTACGGTAAATCACAGTTGCGCAACAACAGTAAAAAATGAGAACTGAGAACAAAGAGAAAATTTTCTCTTTGTAATCGAATCAACCTCCACCTCACTGGCCAGAATCTATTTAACCCAAGATCCACCAAAGACTAACTCTCAGTACACCTGAGATCCTTACACCAACCTTATTCACCTCAACGATACACAGCTGTGCAGTCTCTAACACCTTCACTGATGATGATAGAACTCTCAGAAGAACCACACAACACTTCCTTTATTCACAGCAGCCACCTCCCCTTCAGTCCCTTGCAACCAAGTACAATGCACAGCGCGCTGGGGACACGTGTCCTCCTAACCCCCTTTTCACTGCCTGACCCTCAGGCTCGATTCCTTAATTCCAGACCTATGTCGAAACCCACTTCCATCTCGCTGAGCTTCGTCCACCGATGAGACGCAATACCCTGAACTTCTCGCCGTCTCCAAGAACTTATCCGAGTTCTTACTGCTACAGAAACTTGCAGTCGGTGCTATCACTGTCTACTTCGGGTGTCACTGTCACTGTGTCACCGTCTGTGGAGAGAAGGTTACTTCAACAGTGCATTCCCCATCGCCTCTTGCCCTGGCCTGTGGTGTCGCCCTGTGGAGTAGAGGAATAAGACCACCTCTACCTTATTTTTTCCAGCGATTTCATCTGGATTGGGGGTAGGGGGTAGTGATTCAGGTCAAATAACAATGATTCGAAATTTGGGCTCGGAACCCCCTTCATGGATAGTAAGATGTGGGCTAGGGTACTTTTTGACCACTCGTTACTTCCCTTAGCCAGTGACTCGAGGATGTCGGAGTCCAATTGCCCATCGTACGGCTGCGGCTTGATCTCGGCCTTGACATCCACCAATTGCCCATCGTACGGCTGAAGCTTGATCTCGGCCTTGACATCCACCAATTGCCCATCGTACGGCTGAAGCTTGATCTCGGCCTTGACATCCACCAATTGCCCATCGTACGGCTGCGGCTTGATCTCGGCCTTGACATCCATATCATTCATTAGTTCAGCATCCTCAGCCAGTGACTCGAGGCTGTCGGAGTCCAATTGCCCATCGTACGGCTCAAGCTTGATCTCGGCCTTGACATCCACCAATTGCCCATTGTACGGCCGGACATTGATCGCAGCCCCCGCGCCGAACATGTCAGCATGAAGGAACTCCATCATATCATACCGTCCGTTGAAGAGATCATCCTCCTCCGCACTGAGTCCAACAAATTGCCCATCGTACGGCTGTACATTCATCTCGGTCCCCATGCCGAACATGTCATCATCAAGGCTCGCCATCATATCATTCAGTCGTTTTTCATCCACCAGCTGCTCATCGCATGGCGACACCCCATCGTCCTGCAGCGGGCGGAAGAGATCCGAATTGAGACCCATCACCAGCATGTCCGGGTCAACCGGGGCAAATGGGTGCATGGCAGAGTTGTCGCTATCCCCAGCCCTTGATAGGGCTAGCTCGATGAACTCACCCAGCGCATCGCGGAAGCGGTCACCCTTGATGCCATTGCCAACGACTCGCCGCATCGTGTTGCCATACGCGGGGCGCCGGCGGTTGCGACGGATGGTTGGGATGGGAGCAAGGAAGGAGGAGGTGGAGGAGGTGGTGGCATAGGTGTGGTAGTCGAGCATGTTCGCTGGTCTGGTGGGAGTCCGGTAGCAACGGCGGTCCGTTTTATAGATCCCACCCCTGTGGTAAAAACCGATAAGCTTATCCTTAACCGATTCACCTGGATCAGCACGTGCGCTTGGTGCTAAGTTTTTTTTTGGAGTCATGTGTGCTTGGTGCTAAGTCTTTTTTTTTGAAGCGACCTTTTTAAAGCGCCAGCACGTGCGCTTGGTGCTAAGTTTTTTTTAGGGGATCAGCACGTGCGCTTGGTGCTAAGTTTTTTTTGAAGTGTCGTCTTTTTTTTGGGGATCAGCACGTGCGCTTGGTGCTAAGTTTTTTTTTGAAGTGTCATCATGTGCGCTTGGTGCAAAGTCTTTTTTTGAAGGAACTTTTTGAAGGGCCAGCACGTGCTTGGTGCTAAGTCTTTTTTTTGAAGGGCCAGCACGTGCGCTTGGTGCTAAGACCAAAAGTCACGATACCGTAGTCACGATACAAAAGTAATGATACCAAAGTCACGATACCAAGGTCATGATACCGAAAGTCACGATACCAAGGTCATGATACCGAAAGTCACGATACCAAGGTCACGATACCAAGGTCACGGTTCCAAAGTCACGGCCGTGTGTAACGTGATGCGGTAACGTGACCTTCACTTGCGCGCCTTTGAAAAAATCTGACCCCGGGGGGGTGTCTATTTGGTACCATACCCCTGGGGTAGTGGAACAGGGTTGCTGTCTTAAAAGTAGTTGTAAAACTTACCCAATATATGAGAGTTTCCATAAAGTGTTGATAATAACATTAATTGCCCCTCACAACAAGGTCCCTGGGCGTCCCTTTGACTAAAACATTTGTACCAGGAGCTGATTCTAAGGTCTGTGGCGCCCATAAAGCCCCCTAATTGCAAAATACACTTACAGTTGACCATGGTAGACTTTCTGTGTCTGCAGGTGAACATTGGCAACAGATAGCGATTGTAGAAATGTTGAATCAATCAAGAACAGGAAGGAAACATTTCCTACGTTTCATTTTTGTGGTTGTGACTCTGATTTTGCCTTCAGTTGTGTTTTGGTGGTGTGCAGAACGTAGTAAAGTTCTTTACACCAGAACAATGACTTGTACATCGTCAAAAAAGTTATCAGGCTATTTTTCTGGAATCTATCTGTATCACGGGAGTTTTTTCTGTGATTCTGTGCAAAATACCCTCATATTTCATGCAAGATCCAAGTATTGTAAGGGGAGGAATCTTATTCCACATTTGAAAGTTAATAGATATGGCAATCTCACACAAACCTATCTCAGGCGTAATGTGGAGGTGATCTCCGAGAAATCACTTATTATGGGGATCCTGAACTATTTTCACTATGGTCATTTCATGTTCAATTCTTTATCTCACATGTTTGATATATTGCACCTCCATTCTGTGTGTGTCGGGCAAGTTAAAAATATTTTTCTCTTCTTGGATGCCAAGTTTGAACGTGTTCTGAAAAAGAATTCGTCTTTGGTACGCTTGGATTTGAATCCTATGGTCTACGAAGCGTTTGCGTTGTTTGGTGTGGACAAGAATCATTTTTTTTCTGCTCGACACTTATTTGCTCTCTCGAACCATCGGACAATCTTCTTCCGAGATGTTATTCTTGGATTGAATGCGAGTTCACTTGATCATTATAATTATCGATCCTCTCCCATTGATTGGCGCTTGTTCCGGGCCTTCATTATTCAATCTTTTCACTTGAATGCGATTAGGTTGGATAAGAGAAGTTTGTTGGTCAATAGAACTAAACGCAGGTTACTGAATCCCGAATGTGTACTTAACGTCTGCGCTGAGATTCTACCAGAATGGAAGTTTAGTTCTGTCTCATTTGAGGGGCTTTCATTGATGGGGCAACTTGAGCAAGTGAGATCAGCTTGTCTGCTGATTGGTTTGGATGGTACGGGGCTTTTCAACGGAGTTTTCATGGATGTCGGTTGTATAATTGTACGTATCAAACCAATCTATCTGGATGTCTTGGTTCCAGGAAAGAGCAAGAACTTCGAACGTTTGTGGCGTAATGTTGGCATGTTTTATGATTCAGTTCCCAGCATGTTCTTCAATGTTACGCTATCTATCGAGGAGAGAGACATGATTGCAAATCCATCCAAATACGATGCGATGAAGAGATTTCGTTTTGGTTTAAGTCTAGATGCCGTTGTCGATCAAGAACAGTTGTTGGGTACGGTTGAGCGATTGATTGGTTACCGATATTCTAACAAATCACACAAAGTGCGAAAATTCGATTAAAAAATGATTGGATGGGTGATACGCATATGACTGTGTGAGCCGCTTTAGTTCATTTTCGAAAGTTTCAGAGCAGCAACTTCTAATCGAAACTACAATTAACATTTTTCTTCTTTCATTGCAAGTGTAATCCAAGATGCGAACATGGGAACACTTAAGGGCAAGGTGCAAGCAACAAATTTGCAGCGCTCCTTCGCTTTCCTATCTTAGTGTGTCGCCCGTGTTTTGCTTTGAACCGATTGTAGTGGATTCCAAGTTGCTAGGTCCGTTGTTGCCTCGCTTCTTTCCTCAGTAGTTTCAAGCATTCCACTGCTTGAAGATATCCTTGGTTTCTCTCCATGCTCCTGCCAGTGTGCACTAAGGTCTATTTTGCCAATCAGACACCTGAAGTCACTAACGTTCCCTTGCAAAATATGTCAATCAGGCCGATCCAAAGCAAAGAGAAATAATCACGTGAACCGGTTTATAGGTAGAAAAACCCTGGATTTTCAACTCAATTTCCAGTTGACGGTTTCGACCTCGAAGAAAATCCTATATTTGGTTGCTTGGACACCTCACCACGCCAAACCAAAGTAAAAGTACGGATTTTAAAAGTATCTGTCCCTCCGTTTTTCGACCTCGAAAAAAATCCTATACGTATAAGTACGTTGCAAGTTTTTTCTTCCCTGCTTCTCTCCCATATCATTTTATACCTCCCCGCGACCCCTAGGCTCAATCGCCACACTGGCATTTTGTCGGGAGGCTCATAACCTGTTTCCACTGCTTGCTGAGATATGCTGACCACTGCTTGCTGAGATATGCTCCGACAAGTGCAAGAGTGTCAAGGGGGGGTAGGGGGAGGAAGGACGATATTGCGACGTATCCAAGACCCAACAAGGACAAGATTGCAGCGTATATCGCCTGATGTCTGAGCTCTCAGATCTGTCTATCTGGACCCCGACCGATCCCGCCTCGTCCTCACAAGGTCGCTGGAAGGGGTCTGGAGGGGAGTTTGTCTGGGGGAAAACGCCGTTTTTCTACGCTAAGTCCCGCGACCGGGCCCGGGTATAGAAATCCCTTTCAACATGGCTCAATTTTTTCGTCATTTTTCTGAACTCATCGTAATGTATATTAGTCAAATTGCCTGGAAGATCTTTGCGAAGCTGTGATATGAGAAGGTTGCCTTCCTTTGCATAAGATTCCAATTTATCTTTGAGCGTTGCACTCCCTTGGTCGCGTATTGAGGTTTCGATCGTGTTCGGCAGTACTTTCAAATTCTTTAACATCCTGATAGAACCCCGATTTTTCCACGGTTCTCCCGCGGCCGCCCCCTCCCCTGGCGCACCGATCTCGGGGATGAATGCATCTCGGTTCTCTGCCATGCCATCCCCGTCCTCTGCCAAACCATCCCCGGTCCCCTCCTCGAAATAATTATTGAACTCATGCTGGATGTCCTCGTCGTAGTATGCCTCTTCCCACAGCCCGTCGTCCTGGATCCCCGCGGCGCGGAGGACGCTGGGGGGGAAGCGGAGGACGCCGTCGTCGCGGTCTGCGAGCTCGCCCCACTCGGCGAGCTGCTCGAGGGACTCGTGGAGGAGGTCCATGGTCTCCTGCTCGATCTCTTCTTTGGACGGTGTCGGCGTTTCATCGGAATGGCAGTCGTTGTTGGGAATAGAAGCCGAGTGGAACACCACCTGGACTCCATCGTAATCGATGGCTTCTTCGGGGTGAGATCCAGACGGCAGGTGGTTTGCTGCGCCGTGCATCCTGCCGTACGGGCGTCGCGGGCTCTTTTATACGGGTGAACCGTGCGGATAACCGTGTATTTAAGTTCGTGTGGCGGAGGGACAGATACGCAGGCTCTCAGATCTGTCTATCTGGACCCCGACCGAGCCCGCCTCGTCCTCACAAGGTCGCTGGAAGGGGTCTGGAGGGGAGTTTGTCTGGGGAAAAACGCCGTTTTTCTACGCTAAGTCCCGCGACCGGGCCCGCCTCAGCATATATATCACGCGGAGGACCCTGCAGGCTCTCAGATCTGTCTATCTGGACCCCGACAGAGCCCGCCTCGT